TCGATGGTCAAACACTGAAAGTCTTTTGACGTCCTCCGCGCGCAGCGGCCAGGTTTCTGATCCATATAGTTATATGGAGCGCACCGCAGCATTGTAAATTCGACCCTTGACAGAGAAGCTGATGTCACGCTTACGCCACAGGTGACACAGGTTCGCAAAAGCTGCTCTGGCCTCAATCCGGATGGAAATTTCATCTTTCGTGAGACCACCGGGACTGATACAGCTGCCCAGATAAACAAATTTATCTACTACCTCAATCGGTTCATCCACAAGCACGAGGCTAGGGTTCGAGCCCACCCAATCTTGCAGACTGATCATCACAATGTTTGAATCAGCCATTTTAGACTATTATCGCCCCAGCTGGAAGTAGCTCAGTGGTTAGGACTCGAATATCAGACCTGGATTTTATTGATTCGAACCCAACCCTGGCATCTTGACTGCTCCTGTCTACGCTAAGACATCCTGGCTTTGTGTTAACTCTCATTGACGTGGGAGCCTTGCACTGAAGGGGTGTTACAGCCGGGCAATTTTTCACAGGCACCTCATGCCCAAGACTCAGTAACCTATTGAGTTCGCTGTTCGTTCCGTATGGTCTAGCGTTAGTACCCTCCAGAAACTGTGTTTGACCCTTCCGATTATGGAAAGAAGGGTTAAAACAAATGGATATTCCACAAAATCCCCGTTCCCCTTTTTTTGTGCAGCTATCGTCCGTCTCTCCTATGCGGTGCCTCACGAAAGACAGTACTAGTTAAGATAAAAACAAGTTTTATAAAAACGGGAGATTAGATTCTCTGTCACAGGAAGTCCGTTGTGGAAATTGCACTTTGCACATCATTGTCAACCGAAGACGTGTGAGAGGTGACATATTGGCGGATGTTTAAAAAAAGCTTTGTCATGAAGACCATGATAAACACAACCTTACAGTCGGATGAGCTCCCGCCTCAAAGGAAATCCGCAAACACTCGGTGGAGACATTCACAACCTACCATACGGCAGACGAACAAAAACACTTGTTTTCTTTTCGTTTTTTTCGTTTTATCTTACTGTCGGATGAGCTCCCGCCTCAAAGGAAATCCGCAAACACTCGGTGGAGACATTCACAACCTACCATACGGCAGACGAACAAAAACACTTGTTTTCTTTTCGTTTTTTTCGTTTTTATCTTACTGCAATGTAAAACGTTCCTCTCGGGTTAGTCGTTTGCTATTATGGCTTCTGATGTGCACATCTAACACCTGCCATCAAGGAATGTTTGTATTCCATTGAACAGAAGCCGATGGTTGATTAACCGTTAAAAGCTTAGTATAAATGCTCTTTTGCTGGAGAGTAAGCGTTTAGAATCTAGCCAGAAGCCTGAATTTCGATCCGTCTGGTTTCGATTACGTAACACCTGAACTGTCAGCTGGTTGTCTGCTTCGGTGTCTCCTCTCCCAAATCCGTCTGTCTGAAATTGGTGCATAGGTTTAATCAGCTACCACGCTGTTTGTAGCTCAACTCGTTTCTAGACACTCGGTATCCCAGCTATTTTGTGATCTACTGGACGGATTCTAGTTTGTGTAACATTCGTTTTCCTCAGGTTCAGGCATTTTAGCACACTCGGGATTGTGGAGCTTTATGTAGGCTGTTCTAGTGCCTGGGTAACTACCCACAGTTTCAGAAATGAGCATGTCCTTACATTTCAGTAGAAAAGCAAACCAAATTTGCAGGTGTCGAAATATTGTTAGCTCGACTGCCTTTGATAGTTCTCGGTCGGCTGGTTTTTGATCTTATCATGTTGGCAAACCAAACAGATCAGTAATGAACAAACCAAATTTATTCAAACACAAGATACATTTTGTTATGGAACACAGTTTTCTTGATGCCTTCTTAATACCGTGAGCACGAGTCTGGATAGCAGGCGCTTGATAGCCTGCTGAGCTTAGACAAACCGGAAAGACTATGGACGTGCGAATCAGCTGATCTACTGAACACTGACGCTTACAACCGTGTCGTGTGCAGCCGAAAACGGGCTGTTTGTAAAGCTCACGTGGAAAGTTCTAGGCGGGCCAAGAAGTGATACTAAAAATAGGACTCATCTGTCAAGGGCAAGTGATGACCAACCAACTAAATCTGTCTCAACGAAAACAGTTATTCCATTGGCAGTCGTGTAGTCCAGTTACGGTTGAATTTTGTTCTCCTAATACATCTTGCCGTGTGTTCAGTAGTACATCGATTTGCAACAACTGTCTGTGTGACATCAAATACGCTCCATTTTTCAGCACCGTCTTGTGCAGTGAACTTTGAGCCGAGTGCATTTTAACCACTCATCGGTAGCCCACAGTATGTTTTAATTATTCAAGTGGCTGCCTACCTCGCCTCCCCGAATCATGGGTGAACGAAACTGTGGCAGCTATAACCACTGCACAGCAAGTACGCGGTTTTTACAGCTTCTTATGAAGATGAGTGATCGGATTTCGAAAAGACAGTCGAGCGATACATTTAGCTTCGTCGGGAGCAAAGTGCATTTCGATTCGCTGTGCTAACGCCACTTGTACTTCCTAACTACAACAACAACTCGTGACCGAACTTTACAACCTCCACTTGAGTTGGCTATCTTTGTACTTCTCATACTCGTCAACTGTGTACTGTGGGCGGGTTTTACTTCCGGACGGAAGTTTGAATCGACACATCGTGTACTCTGTTCAGCCTTTACTGCAACTTCGTCACACCATACAACGTCTAATTTGGTTCACACTCGAACAGCTGATCGAACATGCACTTCAGTCTGTTGTTCCAGGCTCTGAGGTTGACCTCCTCGTACCGTATTCTCACTGCCGTCTTCACCCGCTGACTTCACGCGATTTTGCATACGGTACCAGAGAAGCCAGCCAGTGAGGTGTAAAATAGAATATTCACCTGACCTGTTCACTGTGAAAGTCATGTTTACGGATGCTCTCCTCAGTTGTCCGTCACGAGTTCCGATGTACCTCGACTACCTTCACTGTAAACCCGTTCCGCGATGGGCCTTCGATGACTACAATTAGGCATGTGTCTTCGGTTACTTCATGATCTGTCCCCGCATAGCTATAACCCTACCGTCCATCTTGGCAGTTTCAACTAAGCGAGCTTTGTTCGTATTACCCTCGTTTGAACGGCCGTCCTGTTCTGGCGTAATTATTTCGGTGAGTCCACACCAAAGGGAAGCACTGGACTCGAGTTTCGCTCTTATTAGAGCTCATCAACAGTACATATCCAATGGCCGTGCCGGGATTCGAACCCCGGACGTGTGACATGCGAGGCGAGCGTGTAACCACTACTCCATCAACGTACGCTGGACGCATCTGAAATTTCACGTCTGAACAGGCGAATGTGTTCACACTTGAGCGATGTGATTGGTGTGCCCGACTTTCGCTTATCGATTTGCCAGTTTCCTACGTATTACCAATTCTTTCCGATCGATGATACTATGCTCTTCAGATCGATTAAACGTTAAGCTCGTGTGTAAGTTCACTTGAGCGTACTGAGTTGGTCCAATCAGACAGATACATGTGCCTCTTGCGTCCTCCGACGACCTTTCCGAGGAAAAGTACGCATACTGAATGGAATGGTCAGTGTGACTAAAGCCTTGGAAATCAAGTACGTGCAGCTTGGTAGATAAAACCCATCCGTGCAACTTTTCGACACAGCGTTCTAACTCAACCGTTTGGGAATATATTGTCGGAAGGTTGCTTGTGTCTCTTGGGTTACATGTGAGTGCGTTCTCTGATGGACAAAATAGTAAGTTATTACTGAGATTTCCGACATAGAACTGCGTAGGTTCGATAAACCCGAATTTCAAAAAGAAGAATTGGGTTCGAAATTCTACGGTACTATTTACACAAGGGTAAGCAAATGTGTACACAACAGACCTCAATTGTCCATGTTTGTGGCTTCAACAAGCGCACATGTCTGTTACTGATTTGCACGGTGTAGGGTCAACGTCCAAACAGGAACCCCCAGTGAGCGGAATGTCAGGTTGTGATCGTCCCTTCTGACGACAGTCTCGTGATTCTCATTGGCCGTGCGATCACCCGAGCCCATGAAAATTTTAAACAAACGTTCAGCCGCAACACCCGGTGCCTAGCTAGCATGCCACCCAAAGGAAGCACGAGGGCTGGGATACTGCCAGATTGCCCAAGTCTACACAGGGGAGGTCGAGAGGCCAAGGTAGGGTTGGAACCACGGATCCTCCTGTCAATAAATTCGCGCTCCAACCACTTGAGCCCTCTCGCCCATGAGTCAAGTCAGGCTCAGACTTCTGACGACAGTCTCGTGATTCTCATTGGCCGTGCGATCACCCGAGCCCATGAAAATTTTAAACAAACGTTCAGCCGCAACACCCGGTGCCTAGCTAGCATGCCACCCAAAGGAAGCACGAGGGCTGGGATACTGCCAGATTGCCCAAGTCTACACAGGGGAGGTCGAGAGGCCAAGGTAGGGTTGGAACCACGGATCTGTCAGTCAATAAATTCGCGCTCCAACCACTTGAGCCCTCTCGCCCATGAGTCAAGTCAGGCTCAGACACGAACGCGCGTTGGTAAGTAGGTCAGCAGCGCACATTCACACGCACAGCTAGTACACAAGTGTCGGACGAGACAGTCTTTGCAGCAAGGTGAGTGTCGGGCGCAGATAAGCAAAACAAGTGGAAAGTCAAAAGTACCTAGGCGGAGTACGCAAATCAGTGGGACAATTATCAGGAGGTCAAGTTAGATTCATTAGTTATCCGCTTTAAGAGTGAATCACCGAATGGATACACTTCTGCCCAGGAGATAGTTTTTGTAGCAGTTGATTTTTCCATTCTAATCTCATCCCCTGGAAAAAGACCCCACAGAACCGATGCAAGTTCACATTCCCCAATGACCCTCCAAGGGGCTCTCTCGTGTCCCAACAAGAAATGCTCCAGGATATTCACTCAGGTTCACTAGCCGACTGTCATCTTGAACAGTTGATGCCACTATCTTCGCTGAGGGTAAAGTCGGACTGTCCTCTGCGATAGGAGTGTGAAGGGAGTAAGGCGTTTCTCCTAGGTGACCAGCATGTCGATTGTTGTGGGCCGCAGTTTTCTAAAGGCCTTTTTAATACCTTGAACCCGAGTCTGGATAGCCCCTTGGTAACCTGATGCTCTTAGCAGAACCAGAAAGCCAATGAACGTGCGAATCAGCTAGTCTATCTCAAAACTGACGCGTATGTTGTATGTTACCGAAAACGGACTGCTTATAAAGCTCGCATGGAAATTTCCAGGCGGGTCAAAAAATGATACTAAGAATACAACTCATCTGCCTAGGCCAACCGAACACCAACCAGTTAAATTTGTCCCAACGGAAACGGTTATTCCATTGGGGTTGGTTCTCCTAAAATCTATATTCATGGAAGCACCGATAATGCATTCCAGTTGAGGAACAACCAGTTGGAAAAGGTCGACGCTAAGGATCGCACCTTCCGATCTTTTAGCGGCTGACCGTGACCGCCGACACATTACTCAGCACGGTCGAAATATTTTGAAAATCAAAGAGTCTGAAGCTGCCGACAAGGCACCTGCTGTGCGCAGCCGCATTAGGAATGAGACAGTAATGTCTTACTTCCTGCGCCCTCGGGTCAGGACAACCCTCCGTAGCCGAGCAGATCCGACTGTTGAGTCAACAGCTCCGGGCGGGGTTGCCAAAGAAAACTCTATCACCCGCTGCTCCGCGGTTTAGATCCTTGAGTCAGAGGCTACGAGTAGGGTCCCCGAACTAAGCTGAGGAAAATACCGTTACAACAAGACTCTTGAGGCATAGGCAAGGGGGCGATCGTAGTTTGAGGATATCCTGAGAATCGTCTGCAAACAAGACGCTGACACCGGGCTTTCAACGTAGCGTTTCTGCAATGTCTAGAGCGCATTACACATTTAGCAGTGCGTTTTTTAATGGACGTCAGGAACTGAAGTTCGCCCCGGTTTACCGGAAAGCTTGTGATTCGCACCCTACCTCGAGCTCTCCGTCGCTCATTGCTAAACCACTGGACAGTATTCCAGTAAAAGCCATCCACCGACCTTTTTTTCGTACGGGCTGTACTGTGAGCATACGCCATAGGATTGACGCAGTTGATTGGCCGTTACTTATGAAACAAATCACTGCCAAGCTGACTTCTCTTTCTTCACTCATCCTCCATCCCCATGCAGGCAACCCACTTCAATCCGGATGATGTGGATTTGTACACTGGAGTAAGTACTTTCACCGCAGCACCAGGGCTTTTTTCTTTCCTATTCTGCGGTTTCATCTAGGATATTGGCCAATCTGGTGCAGCTGTGTTGTGTTTCACTAGGAAATTGAGTAGTAAAAGCCGTTTTTCGGGCTTTTGAGTCAATTCCAGTCCGCTTATTCCATCTTTTGAACTGACATTTTGTTGTTTGTATGCTGCCTGCACTAAACACAGGTGATCAGCTGTAATTGCTTAAAAATTGGCACTATAGCCCATGTGATTTGATCAGGTTTATTCGAATAAATGGTGATAATAAATAAAAATAATGGTGGTGCTACTGATTTGGCCAGTAAACCTGTTGGAAATATCCTCAGTGGAGTAGATCATGACAAGTATAGTCGTGCACTTCAAGCTACCGTGACAAATCGCACATGCCTGATGGGGAAACGCGGCTGAGATTGAGGTGCGTTTTCAGGACGTCATTCTTGAAACAAAGTGATGATAAACGATAACTGGGTTTCTGTAATTACTTGGTAGACATTCCTGGGATAATGAAATCTGTTTTCACTCGCACATTTCCGAGTGTCGTCCTCTTTTTCAAAAAAACTTTGGTGACAATCGGTAGATTTATTGCTGGGCAACGTTTCGCTTTTGACAGGCCAAATGACTAGGTTCCGAGGTTGGTGGAGATTTAAGGCGTAAGGAGAACCAATCAGCTAAGTCCAGCTAAATCTCTGTTGGGTGTCGGCCGAGGGATTTTAGTGTGTTGTATTGTGCGGTGGCCGAGCTATTTGGTTACGCTGCACTGCATGTGTTTGGCTTATCCGGCGCTGATCGTTTAGCCATTGCTATTAAATGAAATTCGCTATATCGGTGCTGTTTTTCTTTCTTTCAAAACGAACGATGTCGTTACGGCAAGGGTAAAGTGTGCCACGTGTGAACAACTTGATAGGGTCACTCTCTCACTAGTCGATTTACTTGTTGTGTCCAAGTTGCAGCCGACGAGTATGTTTGTTTGGTGTCGGTCTGTTGGTGGAATACGAGAGAACATTATCGCTATTGACCTGTTTGATATTCTAACCCGATATTCGGGCCCGCTGACCTTAAGCCCACACTGTACCGTTTGAATTCTACACCTCACTCTTGCTATAACGTCATCCATATTTTCTACTGCCTGTGAATTCCTTCAATATGCGTTTCGATTCGATGTATATCGAATCGACAGATTGATCGTTCCATCGCCGCTTTTTCTACCAAGAAAGAAATCTTCGAAAAGAGAAAGCAGTCCTCAGGATAAGCCCTTCACGATGAGCGTTCCTCATCGGGTTTCTATGGAAATTTTCTACCTCTGTGAAGTCGGAGATTCTGTTCCCCTGGGCAGTGATTTCAACCCGATGAAGGGACATCAAACGATGCAAGTAGAATCCACATGCTCATTCTGAAACCTGTCAGTCTGAATTTTTGGGTGAAGTTACCATCCACCGTTTTGCTACTCGGGTCAGGAATTCACTAAAATACCTGAGATATTACACTACGCTTCTAGTTTGAATTGTTTTCGTTCTCTTACCCGTCACCCTAGTTGGCGTCCTTCCGTCACGTGAACCATCAATGTGATCTGTGATGCCATTAGCTTATCTTATCAACGACCCCAATGTTTTTGATCTAGATGGTGTGTCAACAGATAATGCCGTGCGACCCCACCGTCCTTGGTCTAGATGGTGTGTCAACAGATAATGCCGTTCTTCTCCGTAGTACAAACACTGTTGAATCCTTTAGGACCTTCTGGATTCCAAGGCCACGAGATTGGGTCGTAACTATTCCTACTCTGATTACAACAAGGGATCTTCCTGAGACTATCAACAAACTCATATTCTTGGGAAGTGTTGTAAACTAAAAAAAATTCGTCCCACGGTTTGTCCATGATCGTCCTCCCTCCAAAACGCCGAGTAATCCTGACAGAGGCTGATGGACAATCTAGTCTCAACTGAACCATATGAGTTTCTCTTTTGCGAATGTGGTGTTCGTATTTCCAACACTCACAACATCTTCAGTATGCGTTTCTCTCCTCTCCAAAGGGTATTTTTCTTGGCTGTGAATTTGGCATAGCCTGTTTGTACATTTGGGCAGTCGGTATTTTGGCGGCCGGTCAGTCGTCCACCATGACAGGAACGTATTCTGGACAATTTGTCATGGAGGGCTTCATTAACATCAAGTGGAAACGTTGGCAACGGGTCCTGGTCACGCGAGCCATCGCCATTCTTCCCACTCTACTGGTCACTGTGTTCCGAGGTGAGTCAGTCGCGGGAGTCAGGCATTCTGTAGAAGAAGAAAGCGTTCAGCTGTAGCACCCTTTCGGTGCCTAGCTGCCATGCCACCCGAAAGAAGCACGAGGGCTGGGATACTGCCAGGTTGCCCAAGCCTAGACAGGGGAAGCGAGTGGCGGAGGTCGGATTCGAACCACGAACCTTCCGGTCAGTAAATTCGCGCTCTAACCACTTGGGCCATTTCTCTAGAATCCATCCAACTGCACTCAGGTTGTCCTGCAAGTTGCTGTGTTGCGGCGATTTCTAAATTTCGATTCTAGCTAAAAAGCGCAATTCACGACCGAAGTAGGCGAAATGCTCAGTTCCGGTGGATGCTCGTCAGGAAGACACAACGGGTGCATCGGATGTAGTAAACACAAACAAGAAAGTAGAAGTATACTGTACAGTCCAGTGGAGTTCAATTTTCGTCACCTGCTATCGTTTTCGGCTGAAATGGCTATATTTGTTATTCTAGTTACTCCATAAACTTTCTCTAGCCTCCTGATTAGCGACTTTGACGATCATACTCTCGCTTCTGAAGCTATCTTACTAGCTGCACGTCAATCGTTGTTCGGCATTCATTTGCGATTTATTCCCCGTCCGGGTTATTCCAAATTCTCCATACTATTGTAAGAACAATAATTCTGTCGAATAGTGTCTGACAAACAGTTCGCGATGGAGCGCCGCTCTCTTCAAATCTCATTCGATGCCTAGCCGACTGTCTGCTTGCAGAACAGAAGTCGATTGTACACGTGATTGCAGCGATGAGAAATTGAAGGTCGATGTCTTGTGTGGTCGGTCTCATAAACTGGACCTAACGATGCAGGGAACAAAAACAGTTTTTTAATTCCAGTTTGATTCGATGCGCGTCATTTACTGGAGTGTGGACGCAGCCTTTTAATCACTTTAACGGACTGAACGTTTTTGGAGGACTACATAACGGAGGGCGAGGAACGCTATTCTGGACTTTCCACTGGGCCAGCTCTACTTAGGAGAGTTTTCATTGGGATTAATGTGTCCCACATATGAATCCGCCTTGGTGAATAGGAGAGAATCGAAATTGACCTTAAAATTGTGGGTGGGCAGGGCGGTTGTTCAAGAAAACCACACGACTGTAAAACCTATCCATCAATCCAGACCACTCTCAGAGGAAAATCTTTCCAACCGTGCGGTGGACCCCCCCTCTTACTGCAGCAAACTAAGTCCCTTAAATGATCAACATACCTTGGTAGTAATCTCGGATCACCGTATAAATGGCTGCCTTACTCTCATTAACGACGTTTCTGGTGTTCCATCGTCCCAAAACCCTTCACACGAATGGTGGATACGGCTAAATGTTCAGAGTAAAAGTCGGATAATCTCTCCACCTGTATTCACTCTCCGTCATTTGCTTGTAACGCTGGTCTACCTGAATGAAATGTTAGGCTGTAGTCCTATCGGGATAAACTTTATTCGGGTTTAATTGACCGGCCCATCGTGACCAGTAAGACGGTTCATCAGCTCCTGGAGACCACGTGCGCAGCATTGTTGTCACACACCCGGTTAAGATTACGCCATTGGGAGCTCCACAGTTTGAATAACCGCTATGTGGAATAAGATTAGATTAACGGAGCTTTGGACTATATGGCGCAGCGTTGGGTTGGTGCAAGCGGATCGCGATTTCTTCAGTTGTTGGTCGAACGTTAGCAAAACAAGGAGCGACGTCGGAAGACAGGCGCGCCAAAGTGCAACTTCCATAAATGTCTAAAGCAAGTGGCTGAATCGATCCAACAAATTTTACTATAATATCTGTTTTGCATTTTTTTAAGACGGTAGCTGAAATAACTTTTTTACTGTTAATAGAAATCACCGGAGTGTCCATGCTCAAACCAAACGTAAGCGAACGATCGATTTGAAAAATTTGATGTGACCAACGAGCAACGTCAATCGATAATCGATCGAGTAGTAGGTGAAAGCGTTAATCGTGTACGATCCAGGTGGTTCCAACTGTTGTTCTGGTAATACATTTCGCCTGCTTTGCAACGCTTTCATCCATCATTCAGAAGACAATTCTGGGTGACAGAACACCGATATCGAGGGTGACGCATACTACTGAACAATTCAGCATACATCCGTTTGAGTTTCCCATAAAAATAATGGGACCACTTCTCTATGGATCTACCCCCAGATGAGTAGTATTCCGTTGTTTCGGCTCTGTTCACTGAGTTAGGTGTACGCATCACAGCAGCGCCAACTCGCCACATGCCGATGATTAATGATACTGATATTCGACAGCACACTGGTAAACAGCGGGATGCCGTTGTACCAAAATAAGGAGAATCGAGCAGACGAATAACACCAGACGTGCGACCACGCGGCACATGTGAAGGTCGAGAGTGATCGCGCGCAGATTCCAACAAATCAACGTGAACAGTCTCGAACAGGACCGGGCTTACCGCCGCATACTGTCCAGCACACCAATGTGTAAGACCTGTCACCTGTGAACGCGGCAAATATACGGAGTAAACAGCGCGTATTACCAACAAAATGTTACTTATTGAATGTTGTCAGCAGACACATAAGCCCCCAAATTCTGTAACATTCCTCTCCGTTTGGAAGTCATCCGTTAGTGAACCCAGAAGGGATGAATGTAAACAAAGTAATCCACAGCCAATAGTGGGAGCAGCGGCCGCAATGTAATTACAAATATGTGCTACTCAACTTTATTCAGTAGTATGGAGTGACGAGTAATACGAAACATTCAGGTAGTCAGGTCGCCCTTCGATCAGCGGCAACAAACTGTTGATCCTGGCGTGAATCAGTAGTTTTGCCTTACCCCATAATCCCTAATCCGAAAGTATCAAAACTGTGGATATCTTGACTGGAAACCGTCGTTATTTACCAACAGTCTTCGCAATATCTCAGTGTTTTTTTTTCCAAAAAAAACACAGGACGTGTCACTACGTCCAGCTTCCAATTCCTGTGAAGAAATCTGTTAAAATGAGTGGATTGATCATTCCCCAAGGACCGTGCCTTGGGTCCTCTTGATTGGATGGGGATTATAAGCACACCTCAGAAAAGTCCACCTGGCTTTCTACTTTCCGTACTTGTCTTCCCCATTCCTTGATTGTAATCTTCGATAGATCTGTGTTTTTTCCTGCGCGTGAACTGCTTGTTTATCGTTTAATTCGTCACCCCGAACACGCAGGTATCCAAGACCTCACCGGGATGAACGATTTTCTCAACGTATTGATGAGTATCCAGCTCCCGTTCGCCATCATCCCGTTGCTCACTTTCACGAGTTCGAAATCAATCATGAACGAGTTTTCCAATTCCACGTAGGTCTTTATCTTTTTTTACTACCTTTTGTGCCCATACAATTGTTTTCTCACTTATTTAACAACGGATCATGTGTCTCACGGTGATGTCGTTAGTTTTCAATGGGGAGATTTTTTAATCTCAGTGGAGATTTCATCTTGCAATAAGGGTCAATCTATACAGGCAAGCCGGGATGCCCTGTTTCATTGCTTTATCCCGCTTGGGACCCTTCAGCAGTGCGCTAGAACACCTTATCGGTGGTTATATGTCATGCCGTATGGTCGCGAGTAGCTGTCAGTGGTTCGATTTACTCTCGCTGGAACCAGATGTGTCACCACTCACCCTCACTCAGTCGGTCCACGTCATGTGGTCACATGACTTGTTTGTGGATGGATAACTTCTCGTGAGACTTATGGGATAATCCTTCATTACTTGTGAATTGCAGGCAATCAAGTCTTGAATCAGTTGTAGGTTTAGGGATTAATTTCTGAGTAAATCTTCATTTTTGATACAAAAGCGTCGTCAGATCGGTTGACGAGGTTGGTTGATAACTTTCATTTCACTATTGATACTACTAACAGTCATTCGTTAACAATGAAAATGTTGTACAATGTACAATATCGTTCGACGATGATCTGGTTGATAGCTACGAAACCAAGTCAGTAGGTGATGTTCTTGATGCGAAAACCCAGGGTTGTTGGTGGTTTTGATTGATGCACATAACCGGGCCATAGAAGTCTGTATCTCAGATCATCAATGCATCTCAAGGTCTCCATCCGAAGGGATGACAATCAACATGCGCCCCAGTGCATGTCCACAACTGTCCCTTGTTTTTATTTGTAATCAGCGGGTCTCTGCTTCTCTCCAGCTGACAACTGTCCCGAGCAAATCTCCCTCACCCTTGAGAAGCCCGTCATCCCCAATAAATCGGACCGTTTAACACTCAAAAGGTGCCATAGCTCAATCCAGCTACAAAGTACTGTCTCCTTGTGAAAAACAAGTCTGGACATAGTTTAGGGTTGGAGTACAATCGTACCAGAGAAACTATCGTGACAGGGGAGGTTGTTCTATAGTCAACGGACACCGGATCACCGCTTGGTTGGAGGTGATCGGAACTAAATCCTATGTGAATGCTTTTGACCCACATTTCTGGCCCGTCCCGCAGCTGTCCAACAATGTACAGTCTGTTTTAACTAACCATACAGTGATCTCACAAGGCTATTCCATTGCCCAGCGTCTGTGCGCTGGATAGCCTAAGCCTGTACAGACATCCATCGTGTGAAAAGATACCCTTTGGAAGGCAGGCGGAAGGTCGAATAGGAACTTCCTAGCTGAAGTATGGACGTAGTCGTAGCTTTATCTTGTAGGTTCCAGACTTGAATCCCTCCAGAAATTTATGGTATCCAAAGTTGTTGAATCCCAACCAGGATAAATTAGCTGCCTTTCTATTCGTCCAGCGAAATCCAGTTTTAAAACATCTTCGTTGCCCGTACCCTGTTTCCAATGGTGCTGTATAGAATAGCTCGCTCACACTACAAACCTGTCGTTGCCAATAAACTGGCTACTATTTCCGAACGTTCTCTACTGTTTGTTTCTGTTATGAACTTCTCTCCTACTCAGATTCACCCTAGTTGTGGCCAACATCCTTTCAGTTGTCGTGGTCGCTACCAATCTGTTTTTGGCTTCTGTCGTGGTCCACGCTCGCTTGCCGAAATTCTGGGCCGTTTATCTTGGCATAACCTTACTGGTACTTGCTTACGTGTGTTTTGTTGGCTATCTGGTGAGTTCCGATCCGTGTGTGTGTGTGTGTGTGTGCGTTGCGTTGGTCCCAATTTTTCCTCATACACCAAGATTCCCTTCGTTTGTTTGTCGAAACAATGGTAGCATAGTCCGGCAATGATAATACAGAGCAAGATGTTGCTATCTGTCCTAGCCTACTCGTCAATTGTTCTCTGTCAAATTACATACATTGTCGTATCTTGTTCCGTAAAAAGTAGAGTTGTAGTAGTGGGCTGGATCTGTGGAGTTAGCTTCCGCATAGCTCTTTTCTGAACAGTCCTCCACCTGTCCGCTGACATCAAAGCGCCGAGGACTACCCAGCTACCCAGTTTACCTGTCATTGTGCGCTGGTGCGTCGGGTGAAGTTTGCAATGGGTGTTGTGTCGATTCCGCCTCAGTTCGACATGATGATGATCGTTTTCCTCAAGAACCTTCTTCCCTTTTCCTTCCACCGTTTGCTGAGACCTTCTTCCCTTATGGTCGTATGGCAACCATACACCAATAGGCTGTCAATGATGAAGATTTGCTCAGTACTGTTGTACCCCTTACATCTGACGTACGAGTAAGCGTCCACCTGTGCACACTGACTAGCGCGTCTAAACCGGGAACAAGTTCACGCCTGGACAATGTGCGCGACTTTTCGAAAGACATCGATTGACCTTACTGTTGCTTGCGCATGCGACAGGATGCGTCGACTCCGAATGTGTCCTGGGTCCAAATGCTCAATACACGTAGATCGATCGAAAGGTCTGTTAATATTTCATTCCAAGCGTGTTTCGCCTGACAAACTAAACCATAAACCAACTCAGATTCAAAAAATCACCCATTTGGGCGTTGGCTCTNACTCAGGTTCAAAAAATCACCGATTTGGGCGTTGGCTCTGACAAGCAAGCTGATCCTCCCCGTGACGGCGCCAGTCTGTGTGCGGAACTGAACAGAGAGCTTTCGGTATTTCACTTCCAAGTCTTTCGGAAAACATGTCCTCAAACTCTGTATCTCCTGGACTGCAACGAGTACACATGTGCTTGGTGGAAATCGTGACCATACGTTCTTTTGGTACGACTCTCGAGCTTCACTTGGGATCTTCAGATTCTCTCGGTGGGTAAAGAAAACCAGACTTGATAGACCCGATACTTGGATTGAAGTCTTATCTTCACACTTACTGTTCAATTAAGGTGCAACTTTTCTGATGTCCTCGTCTGACGGTTAGGTAAAATGGGTGGTCCGATAGATTGGAAGGTCTGAACTATCCCGATTACAGTGTCTTCCAACATAAATGGGTTTGCTTGCTCCAGTTGTACTGGTTAAAATTGATGATCTCCAGACGAATCCTGGTACCTTTTTGATCCAGGTCGGATGTAAGTATAGGCTGTCATTTTGAATGCCCATATCGCTTTGTCCCAATCGGGTCCGCAGCTCATCAAAGGCTTATCTCAGTATCCAACCAATCGCGTTTTGAGCGAAGATAAGATGTAGTGGTCATCATTGTCGTGCTCGGATTCGTGGAATCGCAGTACATAGCTCAGAGGTTTGCTGCCGTACCAGCGTGGATCGTTCTCCGTTATTCCACAGGAGACTTCACAGTGTGTCAAGCTTTCCTGAATCCAAAGCTGCGCGTAAGTCATCGCTGCGTGTCATGCGTTCACATTGATCTAGCGGCAACACGGTTCTCGCCGCCAGGATCAGGAGAATAGTGTCGCTCATCAGGGGGAGTTTTATGCCGTCTCACCTCCGTATTGATAGAATATAGGAAATATTGAAAGCAGGCAATAATCGCCAAACTGTAAGATCGATGCACTTCTATACTGGGAGAAAATAGATTCGTTGGGTAGAGACTGTAACTTTTACCTCTGTGCCAGACTTCGTACTACCAACTACCATTTTGATTGGATTCGTGTTCCATTCTATGCCCTGTTTTTACCCCGTTTCAGACATTCTTTGGCATTCGAACGGTATGGGCCTCAAGACGTGTAAGTTCCCCCGAACTTGTGATCCCATCTGTATTGACCGAAATCCGCAGCTGTCTGAAAGTTAGTTTTCAATCAACATTATCTGCTGAACAACAAACCAGTTGCTCCTCGAGACTACAACGAATGTTATCTAGGGTTCCGTCCTCGCAAATTGTCAGTCAGTAACATTTGTTCGTCTGTTTATTTAGAAACGCTGTCTGACTGTTGGTTACCAAGTGGTTTAGGCTATGATTCAGAAGGTTGAAGGCACTTGGTGGTGATGACTGACGTTCCAAGTGTTGTACCTTGAAATGCCACGGATCAACCTTTTTCCTGGCCCAATCCGTCCGTACGTATTGTAAACGGGTGTGTGATATGTCACAACTATTCTCTACCACTTCTTACATGGTGCAGTGGTTAAAGCGTGAATTTACTGATCAGAAAGTCCGCGGTTTCAACCCGACCTCTGCCTCTTGACTTCCCCGGTCTAGGCCTGGGCAGCCTGGCATTATCCCAGCCCTCATGCTTCTTTTGGGCGACATGGAAGCTACACACCGAAAGGGTGTTGCAGCTGAACGATCATCTTATCTTTTTACATCACATCCTCAATTTCGTGATGACTGAACGCTAATTTGAGACAATCTCCATCACAAAGCTTGAGTTGACTGCATATAACTGAGTTCTATTCACCCAAATGGACCGGGGTCCATCTCGTTTTATTAATTCATAAATATGCGGTAGCATCTTAGTTCACACATCAGCACCCGAAGTCTGCGGTGACATTGGTTGTCATCCTCGTTTCAGAGTAAGCAGGTGTTTACATTTTTGTCGCTTAAATCGGGACAGGTATGGTATACACTACTGCACACGAAACTGTGGGCGGTCTTTCAAGAACCGAATGCCACTTTGCGCTCAGAAGCTAACCCCGTCGAACAGTATTTGCTCCAGCCTAGTGTTTTGTGCATTGGTTGCGCTGGCTTGGCCACGTGCTCGGTATGCCAGTCGACCAACTTCATCGAAGGGTGGAGCGAGTTAGGGGAGGTCAAACAATGACTTGGCAACGAAGTATGAAAGCCATTACCAGCAAACTCAGCTGCGCTGGTCACTGCCGTCTTACTGGATGGGGACCCCGAGACGGACCACATCAATGGTTGGAGACATTGTCAGACATGACCCATTCGCACCCTCAATGGCGCTCGTGCATCCAAGCTATTGCCTTCCCAATTCCCTCAGTTGACAGTGCTGTGTTCACGCACGAATTTATCAGCTCCCGCCTCAAACGCGCGGCTATCTACCCCACCGCCCCAAATCCTCGGTGAACGAAACTGTGGCAGCTACAACCACTGTACGACAAGTACGGGGTTCCTACACCTGAAAATGATGACTTCCGCAACGAAACCCCAACTTCCTCTGATCAGGTTATTTTTTATCAACCCCGTCGAGGTCTGCTAAACTGTTGGATTGGTACCTATTTGTACGAAAATTTTCCTGTTTTTTACACTTCGCTCCATCACATTTTGCATTTTACTTTTAACTGGCATGTCCGTGTTTGAAACACGACCGTTTTTTGTGCCATCGGACTCCCTAATTTAACCATTCAGCCGTTCTTTAATAGTTTTTCGAACCTTTCAAAGCATTCAGTTGCATTCATTTCGTTCAGTCCGTAAGAGCTATGTTGAAATATAATCAGTGCTCGTCCCGACGTGAAAATGACCCCTTGAATGAACTGAAACCGTTGTTCATTCTCATCGGAAGCTCCCGCCTCGATTTCTTGACCTCAACAGCGTATTTGGGTAATTAGGTCACCCAGTTTCGCTCATTCCAGCTCACTGGGTTTCAGACGTTGTTGTTATCCCCGTGTTCCATCCTGAGCGTAAATCGGTATGCGGGACCGTGATCTGCCCTATCAATCTACAGTGATAGCAATTTGTCTGGTGCGCACCAGGCCTTGTTGCTATGTGAATCAAAGTCATACTTCAGCCCAACTCGATGACAAAGCAATCAGGTGGAACAGGCTTCCCATTTAACTTGTCCGTAATATGTATTTTTCAGCCAGAGAAATTGTATACATACAGTAAGTGAATTTTCAGCAGTGAGGATGTTGCTCCACATGATGACAACAAAAGGATGGTTACGCGATTCAAGGTTTAGCCGAATCAATCGTTCACGGGGGGTACGTGTCTCCATCCTGATGCCCACGTTTGTGCATGTGGTTGATTCCTGTCCCGTATTCCTGGAAAATGAGGGATCGTCAGCTTTTGGTATGTCACCTTGGCTTCTCTCAACTAGTCACGCAGATATCATCCATTTTCATCTGCGCTTGTTTTTGGCCCCATGAAATGCGCTTCTTATCATCCTCGTGATTGATCATTTAAGTGAGCTAATGTTTTTCAACTCCATTGGTTGATTTTCGGACTGCCCGTTCTCCAAACATTCATACTTACCTCATCGACAGCGACTGATCTGTTTTCATATTGTGCATCCATCCTTGTACATTCCATCGACATCTTGATGTTGTCGCCATTCGAACACCGACTCACCATTATTCTGTCTTCTTTTATCATAGTGGCAGGCTTTGCCCCCAGCAGACTCTTCCTTTTCCATTGGAAGCAGCAGGGACAGCGTTCTGGAGCTCGCAGTCACCCCGCCTTCTAGTCCCCACAGGAATGGAGTAATGTCGCGTGAGAGCAAAGACTCCGGCGTCAGTAATATCCAGAAAGTCGAGATTTGATTTTGACGTGCACACACACACACAAACACTTGATGAATTATCCTCTTCTGTCCCCTATTTTCTTGATGTTTCGACTCGCTGATTCCCGTATGTTTTTTCTTCTTCATTTTTTGGACCTGTTTTTCGCAATCACCGTAGTGTAATACCTCCCGTCTTTTTGTTACCTAGGCAAACGAACAGTGACAATTTTACCCCCCACCCCCTCACATGTCTGGTTAATTCTTCCGTAAGAAAGACCTATTTGGTTGTCTTTGATTGTTTTCTATTCTATTTTCTGCCTATATGTATGCATATATATATATGTATATATGTACTAAGGAGCATTTTCAGGTTCTTGCCCATTCCAATCAGCACACCTCTAAAGTCAGGTACACCCTGGGTGTGCAAAGTACTAAGTGGAACGCCTTTCTTGTGGTCTGATTTGTGTTCTTCCAGTGGTCTGTTGTGGGAATCTGTTATGAGTTTTTAGTGGAACAGCGAGTGGACATCCATCACTGTTTTTGGCTATCCTAGCACTACTCTGTTCAATCCAGCTGGAAGTCGCAAGCCACTGTATTCACGTTTCGCTCATTCGCAGTGCTTGTTCGGTGTAAATCTGACGTGTTTGGTGATAGCATCTGAATGCTGTTTCTCCAACGCCCAAAGGATGCGCGTCGCGGAGTTGGATGTGTTCACACTTGAACGTTTGATTAGAGTTTCACATAACCCTACTCAGGGATATCTCCATTTGAAGCAAACTGCGCACTCTAGTAGCGACTGTCACAGTCTCTTAAATGTTGGCTTGATGTTTATCCCGATCTGTTCCACAGGCAGCAAGTGCACTGTAGTTTCCCAAGGTCACCCACAAAGTCCCTGGGGTTCCGACAGACAAGTTGCGACGCAATCCATTGTTTATATGGCCTTCAGATGTTTCAAAGCCAGCTCATTATATGGCTCAACGGGTCTTCTGAACCCTGGTTACTCTGGACCGAACTTCTCGGCGTGAAAATGCGCGTACAGTTTGTCAATGCTGGCCCCCCAACATTAGCTGTTAGACATTGACGCGGAAGCGTTGTACGAATCGATTTTCAACCATTGCTTGTTTGACTCTTGGGGGCTCTTTCCACCGTGTCACATCGACATGTGGCTGGCACGCGTGTATTTCTACTCTGTCCTGGTATGCTGTCATCTTTTTGACAGGGGTAGCAAGGCGGATCAACGAAGTCGCATTTAACACTGTTATCTTCCTTCTTGAGTTTGAACAACGCAGGAAAAAATGGAAGTTGCTGAATCTATTTCACCATATCCCCAAGGAAGCTCTCCACAAATGGTCACGTTATATGGTCTGGCACCCGTAACAATGGGGTAGTGAGCCGATAATGCTTTGAACTGACACACGGACGTACTATCATTTATGAACATGCTTTTGGCTCCTTTATATAGTACTATCTGGTGACCTTCGAGTAACAAACTGTGAACTGCATATGCATAGGTTTTGCAACTACTAATATTGATGGAAGAGTGAGTTGCTCGGAGATTTCATAGGCTATACCTCTCGGATCAATTCTGCTGCAGCCTTATCATATAACTACACTTTTTATTTACGGGCGTTCCTCCTTCAACCTTTCAACCTAGACTTCTGTGTAACTTTTCGTGTCATCTCTTCGCGAGCAACGTTTCTCAAGGGTCGGATAGAGCGATGTTGGATGGGGCAATTTAGACGTGAGTTCGCTGCGATGTTAGATAGGGCAATGTACACGTGGGTTCGGAAACAAAAGTACGATAACCTCTACTACGGTGGTCCCTTTTAATTACCAAAACAGTTCACGTTTAACAGCCTATTTTTCCTAGGTGACCGCCGACTCATTGCGTTAGCTCAGTTTTGCATGCAGCCATCTGACCGCTGGAAATTCTGCTTTATTTATTGAAGATGCCTGACTTCCTTTTGAAGGGGTCGCATAATAAATCAAGCTTAACAAGGAGTTCTTCATACTGCTCAGAGGGTCGGCTTGTTGTTAGGGCTATCATTTGAGGAGTGTCACCTAGCCTTACCCCATCGGCGGTAGGGCTGAGTGAGTGATGAGCTGAAAGGATTCGAGTTTCACTCACTTAAAGCCGTCGTCCAAAGACACTCATGACTGACTTACAAGCCGCAGTCCCCTGCCCTCAGAAATGTTATTTTTTGTTCCGCGTGTGAACTGTTTAAGGACTTGGCAATACCTAGCCTCTAACGCCAAGATTTATGGGACGGTCAGACTCCTGCGCCGTCACGTGTTACTGATTACGCTTGCATTCTGTTAATCCAGCGATCTATCTTATTCGCTGTGATACAATTGACAACAGATATCTTGTGTGATGATTTGCTGGCGAGTATTTTCGCGCAGCATTTGAATTTGTTATCCTGGTTCGACCACAGTGCCGTCTCGACTTTCTTTTGTTAACGCGAGGATGAAAGATCAAAACATACCGGTTTTCTAAGACAACCTATCAATAGCTCTGAAGGTTGTAACAATGGAAAACGCTGTTGGTCTACAGGAGGGCACAATGCATCTTAACGAGTCCATATTTCGGTGACTGTTGCATTTAAATCCACGTAGCAAGTGCTGTGAATGGTCATCGAATTCCAGCGAATCGACCAGGCTAGTCACGGTTGTTCCCTTCTATGTTCAAGTAGCCTGAGGAACGCTGTTCCGCATCTGATCAAGACGAGCTCATCCGGCGATCAAGTGATCTGTGGTAAAGTGGCTGGCGCTAAGCTATAAGCCTCCCGGGACTCCGTATGCAGTTAAACGTCGTGAGGGTGTACCAAAACCTGATTGTGGCGTTTCGGTTGTGCAACGGGTACCTCCATCGAAGAGTGTATCCAGCACCAGAAGCTGTGTTGGCTGGGACATTGGTTGCCTATGCCGAACCATCGTTTGCCGAATACAGTGCTGTTTTCCACGCCCAATTCGGAGTGTCACAAACAGAGAGGTGGCCAACCCTTGACTTGGCAGAGGAGTATGAAGGAGATTGCGAAACGCTTGGCTGCTGCCGGTGCTACTCGCCCTCCACGATGGGGACCGCGTGATCCTCACTGTGCCTGGTTGGAGACACTACATGACGTGGCTGCCAACCGATGTCCGTGGCGTTTCTGTTGTCAGTTTCTATCCAGATTTCCTGAGTGAGCGTCTGGAGGTATAGGCACCTAGCACTAAGTCCCTTCCACATCCACCTTTACTCTTTTCTTTACTATAAGGCTTTCAAATAAATCATGGTTGTACGGCAGTGAAGCATCTGTGTTGAACACTGATTTCATGCTGTCGATGATGTTGATGATGATTTTGGCACATCTCGATACGCTGCAAGATCCATAAGCTAAGAGAATCAGATTGTCAGAATTGATTGGATCGCATAAGTCCCTCAGTAAAACTGTGGTGTGAGATGAACGACCTGATATATGTTCAAATCTCGTAAGCATATGCGGCGCACCAATTACTTTAACAATGTGGAGTTGTCTTCTGGCAGATAAGTAGGATTAACATCTGAAACACTGGTTTAACCAGAGCGAAGCATCTCTTCACTGTTTCAACAGAGTTGAATTGACGATACAAGCTTAGTTAAGTGCGAGATGTTCCGTGACAGTTTCTCCTGAACGGTGAGTTCTGCAATGTGTTGCTCGTGAACTGTGTCCTCTCTCTTTTGAGGAAATGGGTGTGAGCACATCTGTAAGCGTGCTTGATATAAAGCCATGTCTTCAAGAAGGCGAGTACTGACGCTCGCTTGTATGGTTTGAAGCTTTCGCAGTTCCGACGCATCTCATACAACGCATTCTGAGACTTCTCTTTTCCCCCATTTCAGTCATCATGTCCGCCGTCTTCGCTCCAAACACAAGTTCTTTCATCAATCCAACCTCTATGAGTGTCCAGAGAGTAAGTTTCCCCGTCGCCAACTTTGATAATTCTCTTCATAGCTCTTAGATGAGAATGATCACATCATCCAACTGATTGCGGAGCTCTCAAGGAAGGGTAATTTGGAAGAAGCCGCACAAATGCAACTCATTTTACAGCGAAACATAATTCACCTTGTATCGATGGTTGATCACCAAAAACTAGCAGAATCTACTGCTACTGCTCTCCCCGATGGATCCCAACCGCCAGAGAATACGACGAATAGCACGTGAACAAAACGATTGATTGTGGATTCATCCACTCAGTTACCTTTATGACGGGGAGTTCGACGGATCAACATCGTCTGAATGCGCACAACTGGAGTGCCTTCTTCACTTTACATAACAGCAATACTATATTTTACAGTCCTTGCTTGTTTCGAACCAGTGGAACTTACTTGGCGGGTTTGTTTACTTAGTCGATGCTGGTGGCTCACAAAAATTTGCGCGAATTACTGTGGTAGTCATTATCACAAGACCATGAACAAAACGGAATGGAAAGACGTTTTACAAGAGTTAGAATGCCGACCTTTTCAACTACGGTTGATGACCGGTCTGAAACTTAAAAGGTTGTGCAGGACTTATTCCCCTGTTTCATGCTTCTGAGAAGTCATCCCTTGAAGAAGAAACAGTCAATACGTGACCGCATGATGTAGTTTCCGTTATTGAAGGATGAGTGGCGCTGTGTCCTGTCTAGGTGAGGTTGTAACAACCCAGTCACCCACATACTCGATTGTTCCGCTAACAGTCGTCCACTGGATCGCGAGGCTTGTCTTTTTCTCATACGCACAAACACGTCGCATTAAGCTGACTCATCGGACATCGATTGTCTGCACCGCCTAGTCAGCGTAGCAACCACTCATGTGCCGACGCACCCACGTATACGCACTAGGACCTACATAATGGGAAACCGAACCCAGTCAGGATACGCAGGACTCGCGCGGCGCAGGGAGCAAGGAGTTAACCAACTATTAGTGCACATGTGATGATAGCCATAATATAAATCAGGTGTATGCACAAATAAAAGTTTTTAACTGTGATTGGCGGTTGTTTACAGGAGCGATTTGTAGCATGCATAAAATAAAGAGTAATATAAAATGTGGAGCAAGTCAACAGGGAACTTATCGTATGTGAGAGTCCCTTGGTAAAAGTCCGGACGGTGGGAACGTGTTTTCTTCGCAGTATGGCTGCTACACGTGTTCCATGATTGTCGGTGGACTTGGAGTGCTTGGCTGACTCCTTGCTCCCTGCGCGCGCACGAGTCTGTTTGTGTCCTGACTGGGTTCGGTTTCCCTTTATGTAGGTCGCAGTGCGTATACGTGGGCGCGTCGGCACGTGAGTGGTTGCTACGCTGACTAGGCGGTGCAGACAATCGATGTCCGATGAGTCAGCTAAATGCGACGTGT